ATTAATAAGGTTCTTTAAATACACAATTAGATCCCTTTCTCCTCAATTCTTGATTTTCTATTGCAATTTTCCAATGAATGTCACCTTTGGTACGTTCTTAATCTGTTTATTTACTTATTCTTGATTTAATTAGTAGGTTAATTATTTATATGGTCCTTGAATTTATCGATTAGGATTATGATTTTGAGAATAGTTTATATTATATTGTTGTTCTTTTATATTGATTAATATATAATTTTATATAAGCAAAAAAATAAACATATAATTTTATGGTACTATTTTCAACTAGCCCACCCAAGAAAAAAATCCTGGCTCCACCCTTGCACATGTCATTATACAAGTGGAGATACACTTGAAAAATAAAATTTTCCTCCATTTATATAATGACATGTGGTGTACCATCTCATATTCTGAGCATACTGAAAAATCTCTCGTTAGCATGCACTTGAATCGCTTAAAATGCGTGCAATTCTATTTCTCTTTAGTAAACATATAGTTGTGTCTACGACGAGTATAATCTGAAATCGTATAAATTTCAAGAACATGGGGATTTTAATCCTTTTGCAGCCATCGATGAAGCTGCTGTGTCTCTTAATTTTATATAGTCTCGGCGTTTAAACCCTTGCATGCACATATATACTGCATGCATTGTATCAAATCTGGGAGAAACTCAACCAATGAGAAGGGATATATTCCTTTGGCTTTGCGTGTGTCAAAATACCTAAAATACTATCAATTGGGTAAGGGATTCAACATATATATATATATATATATAAATGTATATGTATGTGTGTGTGTGTGTGTGTGTGTGTGTGTGTGTGTGTGTGTGTGTATACAGAAATGGTCAAACGTAGTGACATTGTGATTCGAGAAAATGACTCAAGAGTAAGAATATTTAATTTAATTTAAATAATTAATATAGTTTATCGCTCGTTAAACGGGTCATTTGTTACAATTTCCTAAAATAATTAGCACTGTCTAAACTGGAACATTGGAAATAATTATGGCTAATGCATGCGTTTTAATTTTAGGACATAATACAAAATAAGAGGGGTGGAGAGTTACGAGGCAGCAGAGAGTCCATAGAAAGTTTTATTTTTAGCACAAGAATTGTGTCAAAAACATGAAGTGACGAAGAGTCTATAAAAAATTTCACTTTTGAGAGAGTCTTCTTAACATTTCTCAAACTTTTCTTCCTTCCAAGTTCTAAAAGTGCTTTACCAAAAATAAAAATATTAAAAGTGGGTGCGGATTGGTGCAACAGGGAACAAACCAAGCAGTTGTAGTGCAGTGTAGCTGTCTACCACAACATAATAATTGTAATAAGACTTGGTTGCTGAACAGTTCAACTAGAGGTCCTGCTTATACTCGATCCCGTCAAAATTTGAACACATGTTTATCCGGGATTTGGTGTAAGCAGTACCTCCTACTGAAATGTTCAGCAGCGAAGTAGCATTCTAATAATTGGGTTGGTGATTTTTGAAAAAAAAATATATATATATTTCTTGTATCTTCTTTTTGTTGGCTTCTTTTTTGTTCCTTTTTAGTAATAATCCAGGTAAAATAATGTTTTTTTTGCTGATATCCAATGTTAGATTTTGTTCTTTTCTTCTTTTGAATCAGTCTCACTGTCCAGATGATCATCCACTAATTTGCAATTAATCCAATTAAACAAGTTAAATACTCTGAGCAGGAAGTCTTTGTCTAGGCTTTCACACAGTCATTAATAAGCATTAGATTATATTATGATGTAGTTGTTAGAGATATATTAAGTCCTCCTCCTTAGTCTTTTGAGTGTGATTTGTACCTAACTATTATATTATTTGCTTAATTAATTTTAATTTATTTGATATTATTGTATTCCTGGCTAACGCTTTATATATTGAATAATCACATAGTGACATAAAGGAGAATTAGACAAATGAAACAAGGAGCTTACCCCTCATTTGTAGGAACAAATGAAACAAGAAAGAGAAGAATAAGTAAATTAAATATGAACACCAAGTTCAATTTTCTTAAACACCGTTATATAGTGGTGGGGTGGACTAGGATTCGAGTCTTGGGTGGTTCCAGTCGTAAAGGTCCTAAGTTTTTTAGATAGAAATAGAACGTGATATCAGTAAAATTTGTCAATTGTTGTCCAGACAATTTATCAAGATATGTCTAGCAGATATTATATCAAACACTTAGTAAATACAAAGAGACCCGTACAAAATATTTGGAGGATCATCGGAAGACCTTCGGATGTATATTTTCTGGACTCTAGATTGTCCTAAAACCACTTAGGTTCCAGTAAGCATCCGCCTCTTAGACAGCAAATTGCACTAATATTTCATGTAGGTTACTCAAATTTTCACTTTCATCAATATAGTTCTCTTTGTTAGTCCAATCTGCAAACTAATTAAATTTTCCATCCAGCTTTACTCAAAGTAAAATCCGAATAAACTACAATAAATAGTTAGTGCAAGTGAGCCAAACATTGAACTTGAAACAAGTTTGAAAGGGAGTGATCGATCATCAATCGTTCTCATTTCTTAAAAATATTGTTACCTAATTTTTGTTCTATTGGGGCTTATGAAACATGAAGTCAAGTTTTTCATTGAACACCAAAAAACAGTCGTAGTTTATGATTTGTTTGTTGTTCATTTGGTGGGTGGTGTGAGTGTCCGATGGATCATGAAAACAAACCCTAATCTAAATTAATTAATTGTATGGCTCAACCACTTACACACGGCCAAGCGGTTAGATTCCGTTCGTCCACTTCAACTTTATTAAGATAAAACCCTAATCAAAGACAAAACCAACTAATTATGTGTTAATTTAAAATAAGGGTTTCTTGTTTAAGCTTCCCGTTCTGATTAAGGACTCCCACTAATTATATGTTAAACTGTTGTTTCATACTTGTTTTTCTAATGTGCAATAGTTTAGCCATCATTGATGTTTTCATAGATAGTGAAACATGCTATTCATGAATTTAAATATTAGGAAGATTCATGATTTTTTTCTAATATTTTTAAGTAGTGGCGGGATTATGATTTTTTTTATTTTTTATGGATGAGATATAAAAACGTTGTGTGGTGTTTTTGCCTAAGTTTCCTTGTCTGTGGGCAGGTCAATAGCGATGGTGGCGCCAAGGGGATTGAGGAAGGAAATTTGGAACTTGGGATGAAATTTTTTGATTGAAGTGGGTGAATTTGGGTATGAGTATTAAATGGAGGAGTCTGGAGAAAAGTAAAAAATAGTTGTTAATTTCATATAAAGAAAAGGATTTGCAGTCCTGCGTTACCCTGTCTTACCCAACTAACACTATATTTCGATCAATATTACACATGGATTAGTAACAATACTCATAATAATCCTAGGTAATAGTTACCAATCAATCACATTTATCATATTATTGAAGAAGTGGGGGGTTCAACAATCAATAGTTTGAAATAAGAACTAAGAGGTTGGTGGTGTCTTATATGGTGGAACAGTCGCGGTCATTGGTCAGTAGTCACTTGTCTCAGCCGACCTATTCGCATCTGGACGTGCACAAAAAAATAAACTCAGTGTCTGCCTTTTCCAATCGCCACTCTGCCATCGATGGCGACCTTCCCGCACTCCCAACTGTTCATATACAGTAACAATTCCTTCTTACCTGCATCCTGCATTGCGAACTCATATGCATTTTTGAACTTAATTCTTTTACATATGTATCTACTAATCATGGATCCTTAGTTTTGTTGATTGAAACAAACTTGAGTATGCCAGTCTGATCATGTGATTCGTAAGACTACTCTCATCAAAGTATGAATTTCGTATTTTTTAATCTTATTAGACTCCAATTGTATGCTACTTTCATTTGGTATGAATATTACTCTAATCAAACCATAATTTCTTTCGTAATTGGTATTATAAAACTTTGGAGCACGATCGAATCAAGATTTCAATTGCATTAGTTATTGCTCACATAAGCATACTTGCTTGCAATCACTTACTTCGATTAAAAATGCTTCAATCTATACTTCGATTATTTATATATATATATATATATATATATATATATATATTAATTTTAGCTAAGTCTATGGTTATTAAAAAAACAAGGGGATTTTGGATTTAGATCCAAAACATAGGTTGTTTTTGGGACTAAGTCCAGTTATCCAATTACATATTTTGATATCAATTTTGCCCCTTCAGATAAAAATATTTAAATTCTTTAAATTTTTATCATTTATTCAGTTTTTAAATTTTGAATATTTAAATACTCAAACTAAAATATTATCTAGTAACTACCTACTATTTATGAAGAAAACAAAACCGATATAATTTAGTAATTACCTACCTATTGTATAGGAAGAAAAATGCTTTATACCTACAAAGTAGATATAATCTACCTGCAAAACAAAAATAAACTACCTATTGTATTGGAAGAAAAATGTTGGGAACCTATAGAAATATAAATATGATATAATATACCTTCATTAAATGAACGAATTTGGAGGGAAGAACACAAAAATATCACCCATGAAAAGAAGAGACAAAAAAGAGGAGGATTGATAGAGGGAATTGTTTGGAAGAAGGAAAAAAGGAGGGATGAAACGGATTGGGGGTTGAGGTGATTATATGGCTATAACTAATCCTACAATTAAGGGATTAGTTAAACGACAAATAATCCTATAATTAAGAAATTTTGTGTATTTACAACAATTCGTAAGCCTAAGGGGTAAATATGGTACAAACCATAAATAAACATACGTAGAATCTCAATTATTGGACCTATTTCAATGAAGTGGACTAATTCTACTAATGACTCACAAAATTGGATCTATATTAAGTTATCCCTTAAAACAAAACTGATTTCAACACTCTTTCTTCATACGCATACTCGATACTTATATTTGACCACTAATTAGAATAAAGAAAATAAAATCAAACAACAAGAAACAAACAGAATGAATAAAAATAATAATTACTTTTATTCAAATTGAAAACTTAATCCAAAAAATAAAAAACCCAAAATCCAAGCAAAATAGTAAATCTAAATATATGGTTATCTAACACCCTGAGACATAATTCCCACCCAAAAAACAATGTCAAATTAAGGTATGCCACCAACTCGAAAGCCAACTAAGATAAAGAAGGCAACCCAAAAAAAGAAAATATAAGATAAAAAAAGGGGACGAAAACAGAGGAAACACAGAGAGGAGGAGACTTAGGAAAATTGGATCCGGACACATCGGAACCCGTCTTCCTTTCCTTCCTCTGTTCCTCTGCGTTGTGTTCTGTCTTGTCTGAATTTATAATCTCTGTTTTTTTTCGTTTGGATTTAAAGCAAAAAACTTTAAGTTGATCGAAAACAGAGAGGCAGAGAGAAAAACAGAGCAAGTTTCAAGGGAAGGAGGCCGAGTTCCTCACCTAGGAACGACGGTTTCCTCTTCTTTTTTTCATGCCGGAATATTAATCGATACCTTAACCCCTTATCAGGTCTCTCTCTCTCTCTCTCTCTCTGCATGCAATTATTTTCATTTCCTCATAATTTACAATCATGCGTCATTGTCCGGCTATGAAACATATGTCTATTCTTAAATAATTCATGTTATTGGTACAAATAAAAAATGACGTGATACACATAGAATTTCTGTCACGCTTAATTACGCATTTAGTGTTTGTTTTAATGTATTCATGAATCATTAACACATTGCAACTACTCTCTTCGTACCACTCGATGAAGTGAATTTAATTCATCTAACATCATAACTTGGTTTTCAAATTATCAGCCCTCGTCTTTTCTATCATGATTCATGACTGATGGTGACTCGAATTTATTTCTTGTATTATTTTGCTTTTAGCTTAGTTTTTCCCATCTTATTTTTCCAATATTTCATGTTCCATTTTTTGTTTGTTAAAACATAAAATCTTAGCAGGTAGAATATTTCTGAAAGAATTCCAACCTGAGTATGTAATTCTTTTTTTTTTTTTTTTTAATAAATGATAGTATTAAGGGTTAAATTGTTAGTTGTTAGCAGTATTGGTTAACGAAATTGTCAATATTTTCGTCGAAATACTCGAAAAATCAAGGATGAATATGGAAAGGAGGGTGAAGTGGTGAGATTTAAGAAAACCACTGAATATTGATGATGTTTTTTGATTCACTACATAAATTTTACCAGAACCTATTGCAAATTTCGAATTTTTGAATTTTTTTTTCTAATTTGGACTAAATCTGAATGAGTTAATATACTACTCCGCTGCAACTTTCCATAATTTCTACAAAAAACAACCGATATCAATATTTAAGGAAGGAAAACTCGGTAAGTATCAAACACGCATCACGTGCATAGACATAATTACTTTTTGTTGATTCTATCGAGAATTTGTCAAGAAATATTGGGTAGTCTTGAGTTTTCATGCATGCATTGAAAAACAAACTATTTTTTATTTTGAATGTTTGCAATATATTAGCCTCTCTAGTACAAAATTTCTCAGTGGATGCATATATTCTAAAAATTTAAAAGAAAAACTTGTGCATTAATTGTATGTTTATAATTTGATTGGACTGATTGGGGCCATGCCAACTTCAATACGTCTTTGTAGGAAAAAATGTTAGATTCCATCCCATCTACTTAGAACTCCATTCATCGTCAAAGTCAATTTGCATATTCAAACTTGCTCTGTATTATACAGAGTTATCTAGTACAATCCAATCATAGCCACTGTTCTAAAAAATTTCATCTAGCGCTGCTTAGATTCAGCCTAGGCACTAGACGATTGGCTATTATCCCAATTAATACCTAAGCGTTTGAAAAGTAAGAAAGAGTGTCTAGACCTGCTGAGGCGCCCTTCTAAACCGCCTAGGCATCCACTTAGGTTGCGACTCTTAGACAGAAAATAGATAACTTTCATTTTGTATTTTTTTTCTTTCAATAAACTGTAAGAGACTTATTGAATACTTAAACGAACACATATTATATGTTTGTTTCCCATGTTTTTCCTTATATTCCAATACTTTATAATATATATATTATTCTATTTTGTAGTTTACGTTGAAATTATATATATGTTAAGTATAAACATATACTTATTCACACAAAATATAATAAATCTACTTAAATTCGTCTAGTCCTCCTAAATGCCTGCCTAAGTCTCCCCTAACTGCTTAGGTGTTAGGCCTTAACCCGCCGTCTGACTAGAGTCTAGCTTGTTTTAGAACCTTCGTCCTAGTCACCGAACGAGTCGGGACTCCAGTATTTGCTCTAAAACCGGAGTTCTATATTTGCCTTGCAGGTTAAGTTTATCTGCATTACTTGAAGAAACTTAGCTGCCATGGGCGTTTGTTACTCAAGACCACATGAAACTATCAAAGCTCATCAGAAGAAGGTCCACAGATCCGGCAAACGCCGGAGTAAGGGGAGGAAGACGAAGAAGGTTGCCTCCGCTGCCATTCCCGATGCGCCTAAAAGACAGTCTGTGAGTGAGTTTGTGCATCTTGACTTCGAGAAGGGTGCTGCAACAACCTGCAAGAGATCTGAGGTTTCTAATGGAACATTTCATCTCACTCAGCTTCAGTGGAACCACAGTCAAATAGATGCAAATGGCGGTATGTTTCAAATGTTTAAGACCCGTTTGATAACCATTTCGTGTTTTGGTTTTTAGTTTTGGTTTTTTTTCCACCAGAAATGGAGCATCATGAAAAGTTAACACCAACAGAACCCATCTTACTTCAAATACTTTTGGGAAATATCATATATGAACTTTTTCACTACAGGGACATTAAACAAACAATAAATGGACGATAAAACGTGTTTCATAACATGTTTAGTGTCTTTTTAGGGTAAAAAGTATATTTTTGATCGAAGATTTGCGAAAAGTTCTATCTATATATTTCCCGAGTTTTTCGTGTTGAGTGACATCTGACAGTACAGATTACAACTTCGTGTAGGGAAAGGCCCAGGGGAAGCATGGTTTGACTCACTAAGCATGATGGGATCTGATTCAGAAGACGATTTCTGCAGTGTGCATGGAGGTAATAGCGCACTTAAATCACCAGTAAATTTTAATCCTTCCTTTTTTGTGGCAGTTGTGAATTTTCGGTGGCGAAAACTAGTTCTTTGTTTTTTGGGTGCCAGATGGGTTTCCTTTAGCAGGGAACATCCCAAATGCTCAACTGGTGCAGTATGAAACTGCATCATGCATTGTCGATAATGGATGTAAGTACGAAGGGTTCTACGAAAGTTATCTAACGATAGATGGAAATGCACGCCATTCTGTCGAGAAAACCCAAGTGAGTTTCAACGACAAGAATCAGAAGAACCCCGCGGCGGTGATCATGCTTTCTTATAAGAGGAAATCCGTTGACGACAGCGAAAGGAAAAGTAAGTAGTAAATGTGATCAAAATTTGAAGTTAGAATCCAAGTAACAATTTATCGGTCTCTGCTACAATACTAAATGTGCGACAATGGATGAACAGGTGCGTCCGATCAGAAGTACTTATTCCGTCCAAGAGCAGGACTTCGAATCCCTTGCTCAACGGAAGAGAAGCCAGCACCGGGATCCTGGTCTCCAGTTCCACCCTCAGTATTCAAGCTCCGCGGCGAGAATTACTTCAAGTATATTGCTTGTTTTCCTTTTACTAATCTTGTTTTGTTTTCGTCATTGAGTTCCGCTGTCTAAGGATGAAATTGTGGAAATGTGCAGAGATAAACTGAAGTACCCGGCTCCAAACTGCAGCTCGTACGTACCAATTGGTGTCGATTTGTTAATGTGCCCGCGAAAGAGAGATCACATTGCTCAGCATCTTGAGCTTCCTTCTGTAAAACCACATGACAAAGTTCCTTCCCTCCTCATTGTTAACATCCAGGTACTCTGTCTATCTCCCTCCATATCTCAAAATAATTTGTCGCAGATCAGTTTTCGTTGTGTTTTCGGGGGCATTGATTCTGGTGTTGTTGTTGTTGCAGTTGCCTACCTATCCTACAACAATGTTCCTCGGCGAATGCGATGGGGAAGGCATGAGTCTTGTGCTATATTTCAAAGTGAATGAAAACTTTGAAAAAGAGATATCACCTCAGTTTCAAGACAGCATCAGGGTAAATTTCATCGTGAAGTTTCGGATTCCCACATCTTTGATCCGGGCGCAAAGAAGACGGATTTACTAACAACGTTTTGTTTTTCTGTCTCAGAAATTTGTTGAGGATGAGACTGAGAAGGTGAAAGGGTTTGCAAAGGAGTCTGTGGTTCCTTTCAGGGAAAGGCTAAAGATCATGGCTGGATTGGTCAATCCAGATGACCTCCAGTTGAGTTCTACTGAAAGGAAGCTCATACATGCTTACAATGATAAGCCAGTTCTGTCACGCCCTCAACACAATTTCTTCAGGGTAAAATGAAAACGATGAACTCTTTCTAGTTCCATGTTACTAGAAGAAACACTTATGTAGGGCAGCCTGATCACGCGGTTGGTCATGCCACTCTCATAAAGAAACGGACCTCACATGGGTACAATTTCCCATGCACAGGGGTCTAACTCTTTGTGAGAGTGTCTGACGGGCCATGTGGTCAGGCTCTCTTACCGAAGTTTTTTTCGGTTTTTACATTAAACTAACACTTTTTTTTTTTTTTTGGTAATTTATTTGGCAGGGACCTAATTACTTTGAGATTGACCTAGATATACATAGGTTTAGCTACATATCCAGGAAAGGACTTGAATCATTCAGAGAGACTTTGAAGAATGGGGTACTTGATTTGGGATTAACAATCCAGGTAAACTCACAAACTTATCATTTACTGTAACAGTAAATGTGCATCCTGCATTTCTGTAAGTTTGAGTTTTGTTTGACGGTGTTGGCAGGCACAAAAACAAGAGGAACTGCCAGAGCAAGTCTTGTGCTGCCTGCGCTTGAACAAGATTGAATTTGTGAACCATGGTCAAATTCCGACTCTCGTAACTAGGGACGATTAACTCGCACGGGCATCTCACCTGTATCCTGGAGGGTTTGCACTTTAAAAGTATATAATTCCGGCCAAAACACCAAGCAAATGCCACGTTTTGTTAACATTCGGTCGCTTCGACCTAGTTCGATGGTGCAAGAAAAGGAATACAGAGACATGAACTGCAAATGCAGTACTAGTGATCTTGTACAAAATGGCATCTGTATCTGTACGCTTATTCGTTTTAGTTAAAACCATGCGTTTCCTATCCGTCTTCGGCCATTAGATCTGTAACTCGTATCTAATCACGGCAATAAAGGTTATAAGAATGAGGACGTAAAGGGCTTTAAGAAACGGATTAGGGCTTTTTCTTGTACATGCCATCGATTAATCGTTGATTAGCACAAAGTTTTGTTCAACAATGTCAGATGTGCAAAGATTGGTGTGTGTTGACACAGCAACAAAAACTCCCTTGTCACCCACATGTACAGCAAAAGAACTGCGGATTCTATCACTTGTCCGCAAAAGGACTACCGAGCAAGAACAAAAAGAGCAGTACAAAACAGAAATAGGCAACCAGAAAGTAGGAAGTAATTTTTAAGGAGTTTCGGTTCAAACATCGATACTATATCACCAAACGCAAGCGTAAATAATCATATTACATCACTGTTTACATATACAAAAGAATGCACAGAAGTTGTAAATTTCAACACAGTATGCTTGTTAACTAGTCTACGTGCAACAAAAAAATTTGACCCGACTTCTTTTATCTTTTCCATAACTACCTCTTTCCTTTGTACATTGGCAATTGGGGAACAGGGGGCCTTGATCAAATCTACAGCCTATAGTGCGACAGATTCGGGCAATGATAACTTACAAATTTTGCCTGCTTTGTGGAAATTTCAAGTTCTCCGGCTCCTGCTTTCTTTCCTGATTGATGAAACTCACAGAAACTATGGGTTTTTTTTTTTTTCGGTACAACCGAAACTATGTTATTTGTTCTTTTAAACGTAAACTTGCTATAGGCTGTTGGTCCCTGTTTCTAAGATCCATCTGGTTAACCTTCCCATTTCCTGGATTCGTTGATCTTAAATTCGATGCATTGTTGTTGCCTGTGTAGTGGCTGCTGGTTTTAGAAGCTGGTACATCATGATTATGCTTGCCCTCATATGTTGTTATGACAGCTTTAGGATCTGTTGAGGCTCTCTCTACATGCTTCCGGACGTTACATGCAGGGAACGTGCATTTGTAATAGCTCCTGTAAAATGCAGCAAAGACAAATCAGGAAATTTTTAAACCAACCCATACAAGAAGGAATATAACCGTTTGATTGAATACGTTAGGCAACATAAAAATGAAAACATCGTGACATCAATGGAAGAAAACTGTATATAACACTAAGTTTAGAAATATTGAAAAACAGTATTACCGTGGATAAGGATTGCCCTTGACAACTTTTTGCCCATACTTTCGCCACCTGTAACCATCGTCTAAGAGGTCGACTTCACTGGTTGTCTGTACTATGATTCTAGGCTCTGTCACAGTCCGATGTGTAGAAGCTGCCGCTGCTTCTGACCTGACCTCGGTGTTTCTGGAAAATAACAGTTAATTTTGTTAAGAATACATGACAAACAAGGAGCATAATGCCCGCAAGCATGTGCATATGCTTATCAAGATAAAATATCTACCTTCTCTTGGGGTCAGGTTGATCTTCATCTTTCTCATCAACTCTGGTTTCAGCATCTTCTACTTCCTCACTGTCACTTGTCCCAGATAAATTATCATGTGTTGCTTGGCTGGATTCCTGACGCTTCTTAGACATTGAATAAGGACCTGTCCCTTCTTTTGGTTTGTTCGAATTCCCACCATGAACTTGGGAAGCTAAGTCGGAATTTGCCTGACTATTTCCATTCAGGGGACGCTTGGACTGAGGACGTTCATGATTATGCTCGCCCTTGTAAATAATTTCAGTTATTTGTCCTTCAATCGAGCGTTCAACCTTCTTCTTTACTGGACAATTTGGATGGGTACACTTGTAATAACTTCGAGGAAATTCACTACCTTTCACCTGCTTCTGTCCATACTTCCGCCAATTGTAACCATCATCATTAGGCTTATCGACAGTAAATGAAGACGGTTGGGATCTCTGATCTGAAAGGGAAATGTCAGATGATTCTTTTGTGGCAACGGCAGAGTCAGGTGTTCCAGACGGTATCTCTTGGGGTGGTGTTGTATCGGAAGTAGAGGATGGAGGCTGTGTCAAAGCTGTGGCGGGTGCTGTCGAGAAAGATGTTGAATACGCAGTTGAGAAATTGAAAAAGGATGGGGAGAGTGCAGCAGCCTGAGCCGTGACCTGTGCTAGGGCCTGCTGGTGTGTCATTCCAAAGGGTCCCTACAACAATTCATAAATCACAACCATAAGAAACCAATATAAGTGTGGTACCAAGCAGACTCGTCTCATATGCGTACTTTTGGAGTACCCTTACCCAATTTGCCTAACAAACGAGTGAATCAATTCTAAGAACCCGGAAGCAGGCAAATGCGTGTTACTGCAGTATGCCCGCCCCTTGTACCCAAGTTCAAACCCCACTCCCGCATGTTTGTGTAAAATACAATATCAACTCGAAAACTTAAAAATCCAAAAAACGTTTCAGCTTCTAGTTTCAAGTCGATTTTTGTTTTAGGAAAACTGAAAACATGAAAATTGTTTGGTAACTGTTTTGAACCAAGACTAGCCAATTGACCTAACCCGCGTCTAATTTACGGGAAGACGGATTTCAACTCCGGTGCAACTGACCTAGCTTTTACCCAATTGTCCTAACAAACAAGTGAATCAATTCTAATAACCCAGAATTTGGCAAATTCCCCTTCCCCGCCAAAAGGGCAAAAAAAGGGGCAAAAGGTTACTAAATTTAGAATCTCAAATCCTTTAAAAGTTACTAAATTTAGAATCTCAAATCCTCTAAAAGTTACTAAATTTAGAATCACAAATCCTCTGCCTTAATTTGCCGCCATTTAACTCACTGCTTTCTTTTCTCAACAAAATTTTAATTAATTTTCCAAGAGTAACTAATTTCTCAGTTGTCGCAGTAACTAAAGACGAGATATATATCTAAATCGGATTAAAAAAAAAATCCCAGCTCCCTGATAAGCATACAAGCAATGGTAACAGTAATTCAGTAAATAAATGGAAGAAGTGATTGACGAGGGGTGTACCTGACCGGGTGAGAAGATTCCCGGCGAGTCGAGAAACCCGGACGGCGTCGGGACCGAAAACATCGACGGCGGTCGGTTCTGCTTGAACCGGAAATCCGAACTTCCTTCGCCGTCGCCGGAATTTCGCTCCTCGAGCTGCTGGAACCCGGGCGCCCTCGGCGACGGAGACGTCATGGCTCCGGCGAGCAGCTGGGAGAAGGACTTGCAGTCGTCACCGCCGTCAGAGAAGAAGTTGGAGACGAGAGTCATGGGTCCGGGGCTGAACCCCAGGCCCAGACCGGGTCCAGTATTCCCGCCGCCGGCGGAGCTGAAGATTGATTCGAAAGAGGTGCGCTGCGGGAGAGTGATCGTGGGGCGGGGAGGATGATGAGTCGCTGCGGGCTTCGACGGTTGCGATGGTCCGGGCGGCGGCGGGGACTGTTGCTCGTGGTTGTCAGCCATTGGATCAAAATCCGAAAACAAAGGGGGACAAAGGCGAGAAAGTATTTCCTTCAACCAACTCTTTAAACTCTCGTTTTCTCTTTCTTTCTTTCTTTCCGTGTGAAGTTTGCGTCTGTCCGTTTCGTTTTGGTATTTTTCGGATTTGTGGATCTGAAATTCTGCAAAAAGTCCACGCCGCACATACCAAAAAGCCATTTCCTGATTTTCCTTTAAAATAACAAATTAAAATTAAATAATAAATTATCTCTAGAAATTGACGTAACTCATCACTTTACATTATAAGGTTTAAAATCAATAGAAAATCCTTACGATTGTCCACCACTGTAATTTTGGTCATTTCGTAAAAAATCATCATTAAATTGAAGGATTTTTTTGTCAAATCAACTCATTCACTTGAACTGGTGTTCGCTTCAATTTAATTGAAATTTTTCACAAAACATTAAAAAATAATTAACGGTGAGCAATCTTCTTTTAATTTAAATCTTAGAGATCCCAGTAAAAATGTATAACAATTTCAAATACCATTTTGATTAAAAAAAACTGGGTTTTATTTAATTTTTGGGGTTCATTTATTATTTTATCTTTTGGGTTGTTTGGTGTTGGTGGAGCTAAAGTTGCTAACTACTACCGCCTCCACGATCCAATCGGCATTTGAAATGACGGTGATACCCCTGAGACTTTTAGTAACTACAAAATTTCCATCTTCCAAGTTTGAAAATGAAGGGGTAGTGAAAGGGAAGAAAAAGAATCGGTCGCTAGATATCCGGATTATCCGGATTATCGGTCGCTAGATATCCGGATTATCGGTCGCTAGATATCCGGATTATCGATGGTATATGCGGTTAATTAAAGTGAAATTAATTTCCAAATTACTTTAATTATGGATAGTTTACTTCTGAGTTCTCTTGTGCTTACTGTTTAATGTTGCCAAACTTGTACTTGCATTATGGTGTGCTCCATGTCTTTTTTTTTTTTCTTTTTTAATACACATGGCTTGTTTGAAACTGTTTTTAAAAAGGAAAACTAATGAAAATAGCTTCAAATTTTTACATTTTAATAAAAAATTATCTACTAACTTTATTTAATGATAAAGACAAAAGAATAGAAAAAACATAGAGAACCCAACTTATGTTGGGCGTGTGCCCTCATATAAATTGAGGAAAACTAATGAAAATGACTTGAAAACTTTGAGTAATAGGATTGACTTTTTAGTGTAAAAATATGATTTTTTTTTTTGTTAAAATGAACAATATTTAAAGTTTTTCGTTAAAGTTTCTTATAAATTGATACAACAAATCTTTCATGTTTTGCTTGCCGTACACATTGTGGAACCTCATATACCAATTACTTTGGAGTTGGTCAAAAGGCCATGCGTGCATAAACACCACCCCCACCCATTCTCTCTTTCCACACTCCACTTTTTTCTCCCATTGTCGGCTGCATTAATAGATTTTTTTTTTAGGAACTTTAACGAAAAACTCCCGATATTGTTCATTTTAACGAAAAATCATATTTTTACACTAAAAAGTCAATCCTGATATTATTCACTTCGCTACAACTCAAAATTTTCAAGCTCTTCTCATTAGTTTTTTTTTTTCTTCTTATAATAAGAAAAAGACTTGAAATTGAATTACATTCCCTAGTTTTATTTTTGTGATGTTGTTTCTCAATAGTAGTCAAGATGACGAGAGATTTTTCAATATTTTCAGAACACGGGGTGGTACACCACGTGTCCTTATACAAGTGATGAGATTTTTGTGTTAAATAATTAATAACATAAAAATAAAAGTTGCCACCACTTACATAATGATACATGATGTACCACTTGTGTTACGGGCATAAGGAAAAATTTCCCACCACTTAAATAGTATCCAGTATTTTAATTTGGTAATTAAAACTAGTTTTTAAATATAATTATTGAGAATATAATCTTCCCAAGATTTTGATTTAAATGATCACTTATGGGTTCATCGATTTAGGCACAATTGATGCTTTTATAGGACCAAACAAGGTGTAAGTTTTAAACCTTATGAAACTGAACCAATAAATAGACATTATATATGAAATTGGATTAATAAGTATACATTATTTATGAAATGAAACCAATAATTAAGTACTATTTCTAAAACTAAACCAATAGATGGAAACTATTTATGAAACTGGACCAAGAACTAGACATTATTTATGAAACATGACCAATAACTAAGCACTCTTTATGAAAGTGGACCAATAATTAGGCACTATTATGAAACCGGACCAAGAAATAGATACTATTTATGAAACTATACCATTACCATACACTATGTATGAAACTCGACCCAATAACTAGGCATTATTTATGAGAATGACCAAGAGCTAGACACTATTTATGAAAGTAGACAAAGAACTAGGCGCTATTTACGAAACTAGACAGATAAATAGTGTTTAGTTTCATAAGTAGTGTTCAGTGTTTCATAAATAGTGTTCAGTTTAATAAACAGTGTGTGTGGTGGACGCGTGGGGTCCCATGCGTCAAGTCTTTTAATTTTTTTATATTAAAATTGTGTCATTTTCATTAAACTTTAAGTTATATTGTCATTTTTATTAAAATTTAAGGGTCTTTCATTAATATTTATTTATTTTCATTAAATAAAGTTATAGCATGATTTTTTTGTTAAAATAAATTTAGCCCAAACTCTTTTCATGAAAGTTTCCTTTTTAAAATGATTTAAAATACTTTTTTGTCAAAGTATTTTTGAAATTATTTTTTTGTAAAATGTAAATGAATTTTAGCAAAGAACTTCAAGTGGTTTTGAAACCGAAAAAATTTTGCTAAGCACTTTGAATTATTTTAAAGATATTCCAAACGAGTCCATGCTCAACAAGTCATTAGAAGAAACTTGTGTGTATCAAAATATCGTTATTTAGATTTATTATTTCATGTCTTATAATATGAATAATTGACGTAATTAATATTCAACTCACCAGATGTATCTTTAAATGGACAAATGCACATTATAAAAACACAAGATAAGATTGCATGGCTAATCATGTAGATTCTTTCACATGCAAAAAAACGTGTTAGAAATGTGTTGGCATATAATATAATAAAATCATGGAAAGGAGCGCTGTCAAATGTTGTATTGTGGCACGTACAGTCGCAGATCCAAACTGCACATATACACACGTAACATGTTACAACTTGACCATTACAACGTAATTAGGGGAGATTTTTTAGTGTCTTTGAAATACGGGATATAATATTATACGTTATATAACACAATTGAGGGACATTTGAAAAAAAAATTTCTTTATTTATATAGTAACATGTGATGTTCTGTCCTATATTTCGAACAGACTAAAAAATACTGCTCTATTTAGAGTTGCTATTAACCTTAGTTTAAAACTTACTTCTTCATTGTGACACCTAATTTAGAGTCAAGTTTTACTCAATTAATATATTACCTACCGTCTTTTTTAGGGTCAAATACAAGCGATGCAGTGGCTAATTGTTATAATGTAGGTGCTATTTGGTTTTGGTCAAATTGCATCAATACAAAATTCAATAAATTCATCTTTTTATTCACAAATATTGAAAATCAGTCTTTGAAAGTTAATAATAATGAAAAATATGCACGTCTAAAGATTACACCGTGACTTGCGCATTTTTTCATTTTTTGTAATTTTCATGATTATTTGTGTTTTAGATGTGTCAAATTTCATGAACGAAAATTTTAGTAAAGAGTCAAGCAAATAAATTTTTGGTTGCCCCACAATAATGTCACGTGATTTTGTTACAACCAATGTTTAAATTTGTTTTCAATACGTTTGATATATTTGTGAGATATCATAAACATCAGAAGAAAAAAAAAATGAAAAATGAGTTGAAGTCTAAACTTTACGAGATATCGAATAAGCTCTAAATTTTCACTAAAATCGACAAATCTCGTCGGTATTTCCAATTTAATGGTTAAATATTGACAAAAACATTTTCTAAAACTTCGTTTTAAATGTTTACATTTTTTAAGCAAACTGCCATAATTTATATCAAAGGCAATTGTTGTTGATAAACAATTTGCATATATTTTCCACCGATCTTGTTGTAACACGTGTACATATTTATATTAATTGATCACAAGTTTCTTACGTGTCTTACATCTATACCTCATGTAACCTATTTAAGATAAAGACAAGTTTATTCAAATCCGAATTCTTTTCGGATTCTTTTTATAAGTATTTAGGAAATTAGTTAATTATGTTTGTTTATACTACATCGTCCGATAAAAAATCATTTAAAATTTTTTTATTTAAAATTGAACACAAACAATTCTTGACGAAAACTGACAGCATAATTTACAATGAACGGATTCGATTCATAGATCTTCCAAGGATAGGGGGAGGATGAGTTTATTGAACCAACTGTTCAATGACAATTAACATTTTCTCCACCAAGTAGAAAACAAAGTTTGTCTTTTCTTTTTTTGTTGTCTTCCCGCGAGAACCCTGTGACAATAAAGAGAAGGAAACAAAAAATAAAAAACGAAACCCAGAACTTGTTTTTTGGTAAAAAAATCCAGAACTTTTTTTTTTTTTTTTTTTTGGAAACTAAAAACCCAGAACTTTTGAGAGAGTAAACTCAGAGCTTTAGGTACCGGAAACCCCACAAATTTACGATGGAGGAGACCAACACAAAAGATCTCCAAAGCGCTTCTGTCAGTCTCACGAAGCCGATTCGCTGCATCGTCAAACTCGGTCTGTTAATCTACTTATTCCTTTTTGGTAGAATTCAATTTGCATCAGAATTTGTGCTTTTGTGATTGAGCATTTTTCATTTCGATCATTTCTAGCTTTCTTTACGCTGACCCAGAACAGCTGATTGCTCAAACGAGGTCCAGAAAAGTGCTTTTGGTGTGCTAGATTAATGGGCAGCTGATAAATTTTAAGCCTTTGTTAATATAAACTGTGGAAAACCGAATCGTTTCAACCTGGGAAAATCTGAGGTGTTTGGATGAATGGTTGTTTATAAAACTAAATTATGAAATGCATTTGTAATCATTTGTTCGTATTTTGGTCTTAGATTGTTACAATACGATTTTTTACCTAGTCCAGGAGGTGCAGCAATTACTTGCAAGAACGAATTAGAGACAATAAATGAAGCAAATCTCAAGACGGTTTCGTCGCAGCTGAGGCAATCAATGGCTACGGGGTCGCTTTCTGGGGAGGTTCTTGGGATGGATTGGAGCAAGCAACCTGGAGAATCAGAAATTTCATCTGCCATACTTGATTTTGAACATCGGCCAGTTGCGGACCCCAGCCCCTTTATAGTTGTTCATGGAGCAGGTTTGCTGCTTGGTTTATTTCATCACTTGGAACTTGATTTGTTTGTTGAGATACAAAGTAGCCTTTTCACTAATTTCTAAAGATATGTATTCGTCTAATATGTTGTGTGCTATGGTGGCTTCAGGTTCTTTCGGGCATTTTCAAGCTAGTAAATCGGGCGTTCATAAAGGTGGGTTGTACCAACCCCTTGTAAAGGCTGGTTTTGTTGCCACACGCATCTCCGTAAGACTCTGCCTCGTTGATCGTTTCACATCTATGGACTTTGCTTTAAGTTTGCTTTCGTCTCTTTCGGATTATTCCTCCATTTTCATGTTCATGTTTATTTCAATTATTTCAGGTTACAAAGCTCAATCTTGAAATTGTTAGAGCGTTAGCCAGAGGTATTAATCTACCCTATTAACAAACGTTTTCATATACAAACTATATTTCTGAAGATCGACAGATTCAAAGGAAAAACCAGCTTTCGCAGTTTTAAATTAACAATGCATCTAATGCATCAGAGATACTATTAGCTAGCGGTTGAAGAATTTTGTAAGTTCTTTAGTTTACTTGACCAATCCGTATCTGTCGATTTTGTTTGGCTCTCAAAGCTGCATGAAACTGTTATTTCACTATCATGATTTCATGCTATTATCTGCTTAAGATCTTAAATGCACCCCGCTTTCACGTTCATGAATATTGTTATGTGTTTTCCTTCCAGAGGGTATCCCTTCCATTGGAATGTCTCCATTTTCATGTGGATGGTCAACCCGTGAAAGAAATGTCAGTGGCTTGTTTCCGATAAATGCTTTGATCCCAATGTTATTTTATGTTCTCTGTCCTTTTTGTTAGTTTTTCTTTATTGATGTAAGTTTTCTCTTCCTGCAGATAGCTTCAGCTGATTTGTCTGCAGTGGCCAAGGCTATTGAATCTGGTTTGGTACCTGTAAGTTCGTATTATTATCATTCTTCCTATCATTCTATATTTTACGTGTTTTGAACTGCCTCCTTTTGTGCTATGAATGATTTATACGTGCTGTTGGTTTCTGTTTTTCTTCTCATCTTTCCCTCGGTGATTAATGTTGATTGCTATACGCTTCCTAGGTTTTGCATGGAGATGCTGTGCTCGATGAGTTACTGGTTGGTCTCTCTTATAGAAGTTCACTAGCTTATTGCTTATATTAAACTTGTACTGATGCTTTGTTAATTGCTTTGCCTAATCAGGACTGTACCATATTGAGTGGAGATGTCATCATTAGTCACCTTGCAGCGCACTTGAAGCCTGACTTTGTTGTTTTTCTCGTATCCACACTGTCCCCAAATGGAAAGTTTCATGCATTTGTATTTTGGGAAATGACTTTGGAACACACTGCACAACCTGATAGTTGATAGAAATGTCTTAAAAGTTACTTGAGGCCAATAAATTCACATTTGTCTGTGTAAGAGACCAATGCTAAACCAGTTGCTTTAGCAAACTTCACAGGCAAAAGTGAACTAGAGGTAATCTGTCCACTGTCTCAAACTCAATCCCTGCATTAGGAGAGTAAGAATGCATTGTTCTTCCATAAAGCATCCGAGATTAGACATCTCGAAGAAAAACAGAGTCCAACCAGTTGGGGTCAGATAGGTAGGAAATTACCATTTGATATGAGTGGATAAACATCCTACGTTTGTTTTCTATTTAATGTGGATTTAAGACTGATGTTTTTGGGGTTTATGACCGTCCACCGTCGGTACCAAATGCAGTACTCTTGAGAGAAATCGGTAAGCAGTCTTACTAATCCTGGCTTTGCACAGAAATGGAGTTTTGTTTTTATTCGTCGAATTGCATTGTCTTATCCAAAGTTTGTCAACTGTAGCTGTGGCTAAAGATGGGAGCTGGTCGATCGTGAGCCCAACACTTGAGAACATGAATAAGCAAGGTGCGAATGAACCTAACACGTTACGAGCTTTATTTTCGTTATTGTTGGCTGTGCCAAAATGGGAATTGATCCCGAATTTGTTCAAGTTACTAGCATCTGTAATGTGTGTGTCATGACAACAGTTGAGACAAAAGCGGCAGCCCATGATACAACAGGCGGAATGCTGACCAAGATATCGGAAGCTGCGACGATTGCAAAACTCGGAATCGATGTGTACATTGTGAAGGCAGCAACAACCCATGCTTTGAGGGCATTGAGTGGAGAATTGAAAGGCAGCATTCCAGATGACTGGCTTGGAACGGCAATCCGGTTTTCGAATGAATGATCGATCACTTCTGCTGTTATGAACAATCAAGGTGTTAAACGTAAACATTCGGAGACCAACACAAGAAAGAAGTCGGCGTTTGGAGAAGACATGGATGTTAACCACTTAAGATTCTATGAACTGGCTCGATACAAGATCAGACAATTGATTGTTTGAAGTAAAAACAAATTCATCAGCCGCTGCGACAGGCCAATCAACTCTGGTCGTTTATGATTCATCGGTCCTCAAAACTAGGTATATAATGAGTGATTTCAAATTCAAAGGTTAAGCGTACTCTCGTAATTTTAACAAGGGCACGGTGGGTTTTTTGGGGGTAATAGTGAAAAAACTGCTAGATAAGTCATCCTTACTATCACTCTACAGAACCGTACATAAGAATTTCACCTAAAGCCACTCCTTGTTCAATTCTTTTGAAGTCATTAGATCATTTTCGCATTCAAGAATCTCCTCTTCTTCCACTCCATTCCGAAGAGTAACTAGGTCAAAATCGTCCAAACTCTTGTTATTTTAGTTGGGATTTAAGACTGGTTTGGTATTGCTGTGCTTTGAAAAAAAGCTACTTCTGCTGTGCTGTGAGAATAAGCAGCTGTGAAATAAAGCAGCAGAGTGTTTGGTAAACTTTTTTGTAAAAGTGCTTTTGAAAAAAAAAAGCAGTATTATAGTATTTGGTAAACTTTTATGTAAAACAGATGTGAAAAAAAACCGGTTTTTCAAAGCTGGATTTTGCAGCTTCTTGTTTTTGGCTTATTTTCACCCAAAACTGTGAAAAAAAGCTGAAGCTGAATGTTTACCAAACACAAAAACAGCTCCCAGCTTTTTTTGATACCAGCTTTTTTCAGAATCATCTCAGTACCAAACCAGCGTCTGACCGAGAATAAATATTTTACACCTAGCAATTCATTTATTTTCAAAATGACCATTTACTACCTATTATTTGATTGACGATTCCTTTATATTGGAATGGGTGAAGAGTCAAATGCTTTGGAAACTCCTCGTGCCGGGTTTGCAGCGATATGAGTAGTTCCAAACCAGCACCATAACACCGAACAGACCATCAAGTTACCAAAGGAAAACAACCAACCGGAAATAAACCGACTCGGTTGCACGACAGCAGGGTAATAGCGTACCGTAAAACCACAATCACAGTTCAATTTGGTGCTTAAGACACCAGGCTCACTGTCGATTATTTGGTAGAGTCATTTAACGCAGGCAAACACAATGCAACAAGAAGAATCCATCAAGTGATGAAAATGAGGACCGTGAAATTTCGAACCAAGAACAAGTGAAAGGTACTATACAGTCTTCAATATAACTCTTGCCAATACCATGAAATTGGGGGCATGATTCAGAACAGTAACATAACAAAAATATTGATAACGACACGCTAATTAATGGCAACATTAACTTGTAACCCAAGGCCACCTCTAATCAAGAACAGTAGTTCCTGAAAGGGGTGACCCCAAAGTTTCTATTTACCGTTCCATTTTATATCTGAAAGCTAACGTTCCCGAAGAACGAAGGGCATCTATTTGGGACCGATGTCCTTCAGGGCGCAAATCTGCTCCTCTCCCATAGCAGACATGACAGAAACAACCAGATCCTTCCCCTCTGCAAACCCATCCTTGATCTGCATAAAATACCAAGAAAATAACCAATTAAGATTCTACAGGGATAACCAGCAGGAAACATAATTATAACAGTAGTTAAGCAAAGGAAAGATGTTTTAAACTGCGTCGAACAATAAAAAGGGGAAGAAACAGCATAAAGTTGATGCTGCGTCTTGTGAAAATAAAAACATGACAAAAAGTTTTAAACCAAATTTCATGCAAGTAACACCCACAATAAAAGTAAATCCTCCAGCAGACATGGATTCTACAGTCATTTGGGAATAAAGCCGAACTAGCAGCATACTATCCCATTCAAACTACGTGGAAGAGGCGAATGTTACAGGGGCCATGTTACAAAACTAACCTGCGTAAGCAGATTGTCATCGGTTGGAAGTCTCAGGTCGTCCTTGGTGTTACCATTCTCAGTCAGCAGACTCACCTTCAGTATGCAACAGATTACGGTTCAAGTCAGGCTAAGCATTGTAAACAAGTGGGAACATCCAAGTAACAAGCAACATACAGTGAAATCAATGAATCTTATGTTGAGAATCAATGTCAATTGTAGGTGAAGTAGGTGGATGTTGTAGGTGAAGTAAGTGTGTGAGGTTGGTGAAGTAAGTGTGTGAGGTTGGTGAAGTAAGTGGAGGTTGTAGGTGAAGTAGGTGGATGTTGTAGGTGAAGTAAGTGTGTGGTGTAGCTTTCATTTGGTTTGCTATAAATACCCAAGTCCTCAAGCATTGTATATCATCCAAGGAAAAACAAAGCCTAGAGCTAAATAAGAAAAGCTTTGCTAATTAGTTTGTTTTGTGAGCTTTCTTTAAGAGTGTGCTCAATTTTCTTCTTCTTGGAATCATTAGAGTTATCTTGGATACTCTTCTTATTCAACAATTGGTATCAGAGCCAAGTCGGTCAGGGATCGTTCTTGGTAGAGCATTGGTTGTAAAGTCTCTTGAATTTCCGAGTATGCTCTGTGGTTGCAGTTTTGACTGATCTTCCACATCAGAAAAGATTTCTTGAGATTATTGCTGGGGTTATCACAAACCTTGAGAGGGAGCTTCTTTGTGTCGAGAGTAGTGTATTACTCTGCACGCTCAAGTTTGTTCGGTGT